CTACAAAGCCACAGTAATCAAGACAATTTGCTACTGGCACAAGAACAGATCCATAAACCAGTGGAATAGAATAAGAGAGCCCAGATATTAACCCAAGCATATATAGTCAATTAATATATAATAAAGGAGCCATGGATATACAATGGGGAAATGACAGCCTCTTTGACAGCTGGTGTTGGCAAAACTGGACAGCTACATATAAGAGAATGCAACTGGATTACTATTTAACTCCATACACAAAAGTAAACTCAAAATGGATCAAAGACCTGAACGTAAGTCATGAAACCATAAAACTCTTAGAAGAAAAGATAGGCAAAATTCTCTTGAATATAAACATGAACAACTTCTTCATGAACATATCTCCCCAGGCAAGTGAAACAAAAGCAAAAATGAGCAAGTGGGATTATATCAAGCTGAAAAGCTTCTGTACAGCAAAGGACACCATCAGTAGAGCAAAAAGACATCCTACAGTATGGGAGAATATATTCATAAATGACATATCTGATAAGGGGTTGACATCCAAAATATATAAAGAGCTCAAGCACCTTAACAAACAAAAAGTAAATAATCCAATTAAAAAATGGCAGAGGATCTGAACAGATACTTCTCCAAAGAAGAAATTCAGATGGACAACAGGCACATGAAAAGATGCTCCACATCACTAATCATCAGAGAAATGCAAATTAAAACCACAATTAGATATCACCTAACACCAGTTAGGATGGCCACCATCCAAAAGAGAAACAACAAATGTTGGCAAGGATGTGGAGAAAGGGGAATCCTACACTGCTGGTGGGAATGTAAATTAGTTCAACCATTGTGGAAAGCAGTATGGAGGTTCCCCAAAAAACTAAAAATTGAAATACCATTTGATCCAGGAATTCCACTCCTAGGAATTTACCCTAAGAATGCAGGAGCCCAGTTTGAAAAAGACATATGCACCCCTATGTTTATCACGGCACTATTTACAATAGCCAAGAAATGGAAGCAACCTAAGTGTCCATCAGTAGATGAATGGATAAAAAAGATGTGGTACATATACACAATGGAATATTATTCAGCCATAAGAAGAAAACAAATCCTACCATTTGCAACAACGTGGATGGAGCTAGAGGGTATTATGCTCAATGAAATAAGCCAAGCGGAGAAAGACAAGTATCAAATGAGTTCACTCATCTGTGGAGTGTAAGAACAAAGCAAAAACTGAAGGAAGAAAACAGCAGCAGACTCACAGAACCCAAGAATGGACTAACAGTTACCAAAGGGATAGAGACTGGGGAGGGTTGATGGGAAGGGAGGGATAAAGGGAAAAAGGGGCATTACAATTAGCACACATAATGCAGGGGTGGGGGCATTGGGAAGGCAATATAGCACAGAGAAGGCAAGTAGTGATTCTATAGCATCTTACTATGCTGATGGGCAGTGACTGTAATGGGGTATGTGGTGGGGACTTGATAATGGGGGGAATCTAGTAACCACAATGTTGCTCATGTAATTGTCTATTAATGATACCAAAATAAATAAATAAATAAAAATAAAACCTCACAGACACACAACTACATATGCCCCGTTTAATGAAAGCCTAACCTTTACACTTCAGCCACCGCATGAATAATAGCAAAAATCAGAACCCTTTAGTACCAAAAATATAAAAATAAAAATAAAAGACCACATACACTTTCATCTGGGGCTAGGTCTATATACTGCCCTTCTGTTTTCTTAATTGGTAGTGACATGAGAGCATTCTGCCACATTATTAATTGCCCTCTAGAAATAAATGCAGTCTCTCCTGATGGTTAGTGGCAATTTTAAGTAAAACCAGAACATTCATAAATCTTTCTACTTAGCATTGGGTGCTTCTAGCCAGTAAGACAAAACCTCCAATACCAAATGGCATCTAGGGTTTATTAAATCCCACATATCCCCAGAAAACTAGCCCATTTGCACTGCCACCTCTGCCCATGACCAGGGCATATTCTTCTTCTTTTCTTATTTATTTTTATTTTTTTATTCTTCTTTTTCATCTTCAAATGGGAGTCTTCGACTAAAAACTAATACCAAATAATATCATTAGCCAGGATCTACATATGGTTTTCTCTTCCCTACTAATTCTCCACTTGAGAAATAGCTTATTTTACCTTCTTATTCTAAATATAAACTCTTTTGAAGCAGAGGCATTAAGACAGCATACTCTGGATTCAAAATGCCTGGACCTGAATGCCTGCTTTATCACCCACTGTGGGACTTGGGAAAGTGATTCAACGTCTAACCCCTCTAGGCCTGTTTCTTCCTATGACAAATGAAGAACATTATTACTTAACAGAGTTGTTAAAAATGAATGACATTACCACAGGTACTACCCTAAAATTAGTGCCTGAACAACCCAATGTAATCACTTGTTAATTATTACCACATCAAAAACCTGAAGATGACTTCCTGAGAGAAAAAAGAATAACCCTCATGGTTATGTTGTCTTCTGGGTACAAACAGTCTGGTGCTGAATACACAAGTTGCATTATTAAGAGTTTAAGTAGTCTTATATTCCTGAACCAAACCTTTCTTAAATTTGAGGAGTAGCAAGCAGGTATCTTCAGAGTGGGTACCACGTGAAGCAAAGACTGGGAGGCTATGTCACTAATATGATCAACCTGTTTCTCTTCTCTACAATGTTTAATTCCACACATTCAATATAAGTGGAACAGATGGGAAGCAAGGATTTATTCTATTTCGTGAAAAAGGCTGAAATAGAATGCCGTTCACAATATCTTCAGTTTGGAAAATCAGCTCTGTTACAAAGATGACAGCTTTGCATGTCCTAAAGCTTTTAAGACCAAGCCTTGAGAATGACTTGAAGTTACAGGTATAGAAAATTCAATTCCCGTATCATTCAAATTGGTTTGAATGTTAGATTTTCCTGTTTTCACTTCCACTTGAACACTTACTCGGATCTTTAAATTCAGGATCCCTTCTGTGAAATCCTCTAACATTCCCTGTGCAGGAAGCCAACTAAAATGGACATTAGGCATTAATGAAGCACTTTGGTAGCCTTTCTTTCCAGATGTGAGAACCAAAAATGAAATAGGCAATGAAGAACATTTGTTCTCTCTGAAAAAAATGCAATTTCTGCAACCTGTCCCATTTAAACCTTGATTTAGGACAACCTTTAACCTTCTTCCTTGAAAAAGGAAAAGGAAAAAACCTTTAGCTTATATTGCTAGTGAGGTTTGTTCTAAAAAAACCAACCCACCAAGTGTTCACTGCTCTAGAAACTCTATGAAAATACCTAACAATCTACATTGTTTCAAATGGACCAGGTATAATGAACCTGCCTAAGTTCTAGATATTTCACTGCTCAACTGGCAGTATGTAACCATCATTTAAGGCTATATTATAGAATGTAATTTCTACACAGTGGAATTTCAAATAATAACATTTTTCATTAGAGTTTCATGTTTTCTTGTAGTGACCTGTTCTGTTCACTACAGTGCTTGGAAAGGTACATAAGCTTTATGCAACAATAACACCTTACATTTTTAACCTCATGTTCTAGATTGTGTCAAGCTAACAGGCCACAGATCACTCTAGAAATAGGAGAACCCCTGGCAGACCTGTGCTGAATTATCGCTGGGTGTCTCCAAGCATGATCCCTTTGTTATAGTAAGAATGTAAACATGAAGACATGCAAACACTCTGTGGTCTGCCTGTCTCTTCTACTATGATGAGTTCCTTGAGGACAGGAGCTATATTTTACCTTCTTTGTACTTCCAAGTAAGCTAGCACTGTGCAGGGCCCAGGAGAGGTATTTGATGAATGCTTGTTGAATAAATGGAGTGAAGAACAAGGGAAAGAGATCTTTATGGTTATTATTCTTCAGCTCTTAGTTTAAAGATGGCCCATTTTATAGACATATGGAAACTAAGTCCTGTAATGAATTCAGATATACAGTGAAAAATGCATAAATATCAAATACATATGCCAATTTTATGTACTCAATTTTAAATTGCTGCCTTCTGTATACCCTGCTTTCACCTTCCATGGCAACTACTGTTGCCAACACAGTTCCTGGCAATGGTTGGGATCAGGAGTAAAGATGATCTGGAAATGCTGAGAGGAAGATTGGAGATGGTCCAAGACACTGCCCAAAAATGACACAAGGCAGGGATATAACCAGATCTTCAAGTGTTACTGGCTTTCTGACATGAGAACAGACACTAGTACTTCCTACCATTTCCTTTTTTTAAATAGAACTATAGGAACATAAATGCACCTATACAGAGGGCAAGTTCACTATCTAAACCAAGGATAAGAAACAAGAAATGAACAAAAATGGTCTTTGGGCAGCCAAAACAGTGGTTACAAAGTTCATCCACTAATAGAGAAGAGCAGCAGATGCTCCTAAACCTACCTTTTACATTCAATTTCAGGAAACACCTATCTGGGTTGCTACCTGACAGAAGATCAGAAGCTGCAAATTTAAAAGAGGGCAGCAGGGACACTAACAACAGCAAAGGTACAGTTTTCCCACCTCTGAAAGAAGAGACAGATTGACTATTAAAAGCAGTTTCAAGAATTCAAAAAGCAGAGGGAGGAAAACAACCTACTTATTTCAATTGCCTCACAGTCCCGCTCGATTTACTGTCATTAATGGATGCTAGTAACCATAGCCTCCAGTGAATAAAAGAAAGGTTAAACTATATTGTTTAAAATGCAAATGAAGCATATGATACACTGTATTTTTCCAGAAAAAGTAAGGGTAAAATAAGAATTTTCAAAGATAACACCTTATTCCCTTTGTAAATAATGAGGCACTTCTCCATACATAAAGTAGAAAGCATGCAAGAGTATAGAATGACAGACTTCACTGCTTTACCCTGTACTTAGTTCTGTTACATGTTCATAATTTCTTATTCCTTGACCTCCTCCAATATAACACCCTCCCTCTGTAAGGTTGCCACCTTGCCACAAAGTTCAGACCCTAAACACACACCCAAGCTCAGTACCTCTTTTCTGCACCAGCCTCCACTGCTGATCTCAGGCTGGGATGACAAATGTACACCCCAGACTCATGAGGACAAGAGGCCTTTCCTCGTTCGCTTTTGGATAAGAAAGACAAAAATCACAAGTGAGAGCTTTGCATTACATTCTCTCTTAGAAGGCTCTAGCAGTCATGTTGACATTGTAAGTTGGTCAGAAGCTGGTTTCATTTGCAAAGTTAAGGTCTTCCTTTCTGTATCTCAGGTACGTACTACTGTTGTCAACAGTCCCTGAGACTTACAGAGGAGCTCAAGGAAGGAAATGGAGAGATATGCAGGTGTGGGATGAGCAGCTGCTGTAGAAGTACTTTGAGGGGGTAATTCCCCTCTCGCATCCTAAAAGGGACGAGAAGATGGACAGTCAGGTTCAGTGATACTGATGTGGCCATTACCAACAGCTCTGGTTCTTCTATTAATGCAAAACATTACATCTAATACAACTGCTCAGTTAGCCTAGCCAGAGAAGTCTGCAGGAGCAAATCTGTGAAGTTACACCTGACCGGAGCACCATAGGCTGCTGCCAGGCTGCAGGTGGCTAAAACACCATACAATTGCAGAATTAAATCTCAAATCTCAACTCCAGCAAACAACTCTTTACAAATACCCATCTCAACAGCCTATTCAGGAATCTGAAACACATTTTCTTGGCCTCTTTTTTTTTTAACACAAAGAGAAACGAAACAATTTTGTATATGCACTAGAATTTTCCCCTTCCCTCACACTGTTTTCCATTTGTTCATTCAACCACAAAATACTTCCTGCACCCCTACTACGCACTATGCACTGTAAAGTGCAAAAAAGAAAAGCCCACCAAATATCATCACTATTACACAACTGTAGTGATTCACTGTTAACTATGCTTCCAACCCCAATTTACAAAACCACTGGGCACTTAGTCCCAGAGTGACCTGACATCAGCTTCAGACTGTCTCCTTTTTATTGTTTGCAACTGTAGTCACAGAATAAAAAGAGCAACCTCCAGCTTCTATTACAAGATTGGAGCAATCACCAGATGACAACCACTGTATTGCTATTTTAAAGTTATCAATTCAAGAGTTGAAGTATCTGGCTTCAGGGTTTACACCATTTAAGTGATGGTCCAGGTGTAGGAAGCTGAAGCCTGCCCTGCAAATAAAGGACATAAAGAAAAGTTCATTTAGAAATTCAAAATTCAAAAAAAGATAAAAAGCAGAAGCTTTAAGATGGTGTGAAACAGCTGGAGTCTACAAATGGAAATCAAGAGAACTGACTGAAAGTCAAGAACTGCCAATTTAACATAAAATAATTTCATGACATAAAGGACCAGATGACAGGTATATTCGTTCCCTAACTCAAAGTACCCAGAAATAAAGGCAGGGATGTATT